GTGCTATACTCTGTCCTGTCAGATGACTTCAGGTGTGGAATTTTCCACTTGTGGCATCATGTGGCACTCAAAGTTCTGGATTTTATGGTGTTTTGACTTTTAGATTAGCGATGCTCAGATCATAATAAATTACTATCAGATATTAGAACACCTCAGTGTTTCTGGATGAGGGAAGTTAAAGCTGGTAAAGCCAGTGGGTCTTGAATCCTTATGGTTGAATGATATAAAAGCAAACTCAGAGTTGAAGCTGTCCCTGTTGTAGTACTTCTCAGAAAGCCAAGTAGCCGATTCCACCTTGGATTTTTGTTTTTGTGTTGTTGTGTTTTGTTATAGAGCATGTGTGCTTGCCAGAGAGGGAAAGTGAGAAATCACTCCCCGGGGGGATGGCCACACCATGATCCTTTTACTCCCTTCTCCACTCAGAATTTTAGACAAACATGCACACGTGCTTGGTGTAATTTTCAAGCTGCCAGGCCCAGGACTTGAACTACAGATGGCCATGAGGGAATCCAACACTTTAACCACCACGCCACCTGGTGGCCATCCACCTTGTTTTTTATTTTTTATTTTTTTTGTTTTTTTGTGGAGAGGTTTTTCCTCTAGGGCACATGCACTTGCCGCAGAGACAGAAAGCGAGAAATCACCCCAGAAGGGATGGCCACTTCACAATCTTTTCTTCGTTTTTCTCTCCAGATTTTGGGCACACATGCAGTTGCACTTGGCGTGAGTTTTAATCCCCTGGGTGCGAGACTCAAACGATGGTCGACTACATGGAAGTCCAGCTGTGTAACCATTATGCCATCTGCAGGTCCCCTACCTTATGTTTAACAGGGCTTGTATAATTTATCATTGAAAAACAGTCGCAATTTAGCCAGAAGGTCAAGGTTTTAATAATTAAGCTGCTTGTGTTCTTGTCTTTATTCTTTAGTGGTAGAAAAAGAATTATAAGATGGTGTAACCTTTATGTTTTTTATGTTAACAGATGTTCATTTGGATCTGGAAGATCGCTTGACCCGGTTTATGAAGACAGAAGAAGCCATCTTATACTCGTAAGGCTTTGCCACTGTAGCCTGCACCATCCCTGCCTACTCTAAGAGAGGGGACATTGTCTTTGTGTAAGGGCCTCTGCCTACTTTCTAGTCACACTTCCTTTGGGAATAACATTGATTGTCCTAGAAAATTCCTTTATTAGGATTGTCTGCCCAAAATAATTATTTTGTTTTTTTGTTGTTGTTGCTTCTATACAAATGCAGTCACCCCAGCCAAATAATTCTACAGAGTTTGAGTGACCTTCGCTTGAAGGGTGCTTGAAAGTGTGGGCAGTTGGGACCAGCAGTTGGCATAATGGCTATGTTGCTGGACCCCCGTGTAGTCAACTGCGGTTTGAGTCCCGGACCCAGTGGCTTAATCTCAATGCCAGGCACGTGAACTTGTGGGCCCAAGATCCTGAGAGGAGAGCGGAGAAGGGATTTCGGCATGGCCATCCCCACAGCGGGTGATTTCTCGCTTTCTGTCTCTCTGTCTCTCTCTGTCTTTCTGGCAGGCGCACACGCCCTATGGCAAAAATCTCCAACAAAGTGTGGGCAGTCACTTAACTGCCTTTATGGTTGTTGTGTAGTCCAGGGGAGGCGAGCTGCCTGCCTTCCTCCTGCCACTCTGAGGCCACATGGCATCCCTGTGAGTCTTGTCACAGACCATGTGGCCAGCCATACTGCTTGGCCATGCAGCTCCACCCCATCATCACCTGCCCTGCACACTGCCGCTCTGCTGACATGGTATCGCAGCTTCAGTAGAGCACAGAGCTGTGCTCCCAACTGCTTGTGAGCAGATCTGCACACCTGCGTGATGCACCCAGGATGTACCGGGCTGCTGTTCATGTGAAGGGTGAGGCCAAGGCAGCATAAGGGTTGGTGTGGCCAGTCCACTGTTCACAGACAGAAGCAGTCACCACTCGAGCCCACACCACTGTCATCCAGTGAGTGGACTGTTAAGTGGCTCTTAATTTTAGGGGTCAAATTTACTCTTGTTTCTTTTTTTTTCTTTTCAACTCTATAGCCACAGTAATCTGTTCAAGAAGTGCAAATGTGATTATTGCTTACTTCATTTAATACATATCAGAGCATCCACTGTTTCGAAAATAAAGACCCACTCCTTATCATGGTCTTGTGAGTTCTGAACCACCTTTTCAGGCTCACTCTGTGTGACCGTTTCCCCTCTGTTCCCTCCCCACTCACACTGCCTGCCAGGGTTGCTCTGCTTCTCAGGCCTCCCTCACACATACAAACACCGTTCCGCTCACTTACGCCTGACTTGCTGGATTCTCCTTTTGTTTGTTTCTGATTCTTTCTAGGACCCTTTGCCTAGGATCGCATTTACCATTTAGTAGTGGTCGAGAAATACCAATTGAGTGAATATTTGAATGACAGCTGGAGCTCCCAGGCACTGAACCTTAGACCTGCCCACCTTAGCCCTGTGCTGTCCTGTGACCACTCACCTTTGGAGCTGCTGCTTGTGCAGTGGCAAAAGCCTCCCTTACACTTACAGCATAGCCAGCTGTCTCCAGGGTTCCCGGGCACATGGATCCTTTCCTCACTATCACCTGGCAGCCTGGAGCAATCCAGCAGACGGCCCCATCCTCAGTTCTTCTGTGTGTACGTGTGACCATTAAAATAGATATCAAAGTTAATTTTGCCCATAGTTTTAAAAATGAACAGAAAAAAACTCATAATAAACTTAAGAGCCATTGCTGCCTTTTTTTTTTTTTTTTAAGAATGATTTAACATTACTTAACTCATTTATTTTAAGTTTGACAGGGGGTTGGGGGTGCTGGGGAGAGGAAAGGCAAGCCACCAGGTTCGGGACTCGAAGTGCAGTCAGCCATATGGGAGTCCACCGCCCTTAACCACCATGCCACCTGCCGGCCCCAGCCATTGGTTTTTAAACAGCATTTCTAGAGTTTTAATCCAAGCAGCATTGCAACGGCAGCGTTTTACAATATCACTTTACAAAACATCCACTATAAATTCCTTTTTGAGTTTAAATGTAGAAAGTTATGGTTACAGGTGAACTTGTATGCTTCCTTTGTCAGATAATATTACATTGTCTTTTGGGTTTTAACTGCTGAAGAACCTAACATAAATTCACTTTCATGTGTTACATTCTGTGTCTTAAAACTTTAGTTTCTCAGCTGACTCCATAGTGCACTCGTTAACTGTTGTGCATAGAAAGCCAGATCCCACTTGGCCAACCATGGTTCAAATCCTGTCCCAGCAGCTTGGAAAATGCCGTGTGTTTTCATACTGCCAGGGCCGGGACTGCCCTCTGGTTGGCCACGTGGTATTTAGCTTCCATCGCACAATGCTTGTAGGGCCTGCCTGAGTGATAGTATCTTACAGTTTATTTTCTTGGTCCGGTTTTGGTATTAGTGTAATACTTCACAAAATTAATTGAAAAATATTTTGTTTTCTGGAGCTGATTGTATAGGGTTGTTTTTAATTCTTTAAATGTTTGGCAGAATTCTCTAATGAAGCCATCTAGACCTGAAGTTGTTTTTTTTTTAGCTGCTATATTGCGTTTGCGCTTGCCAGAAGGAGAAATTCCAATCCTTTCTCCTCCGTCCTCCTCTCAGGATTTGGGGCACACTTGTACATGCAGCAGGTGTATTTCTTTTTTTCCTTTTTTTTTTTTTGAGATGTTTTTGCTATAGGGTGTGTGTACTCTGCAGACAGACAGAGAGACAGAGAGATAGAAAGGAAGAAATCAACCCCCGGGGGGAGATGGCCACACCAAAATCCCGTCTCCTCCTTTCTCCTCTCGGGATCTTGGGCACGCACACACACGGGCCCAGCGTGAGTTTTAAGCCACCGGGTCCAGGATGTGAACCACGGTCGACTTCGTGGGAGTCCAGTGACATAGCCATTATGCTAACTGCTGGTCCCCAGCAGGCGTATTTCTTAATCTGCTGTGTCTAGGACCCTGACTGTGGGCTCCAGCTGCTCCAACCACCTGCCACTGGCTTTTCGAGGTTTCTTTTTTGAAAGTATTCTAGTTATGAAGTCAGTGTCCTTATACTTATGGGCTACTCAGATTATCCATGTCATATTGAGTGAGTGAAAGTAGACAGTCTGTGTTTTAAAGGGATTGACCCATTTCTTCTCAACTGTCCAATGTATATGCGAGGTGCTATTTCTGGTGTTCCTGTATTTGTCTAACGACTACCGGGTCTGTAATGATAGCTCCTGTTTCATTCCTGGTATTAGTGGTTTGTATCTTTTCTTTTTTTCCTTTGTCAGTTTTGTTAGAGGTTTGTCAGTGTTACTGGTCTTTTCAAAGAATCAACTGTTTCATTGTTTTTCTCTGTTGTATTTCTGTTGTCAGTCCCATTGACTAAATGATTTCCTACCTTATGTTCATTTTTGGTTTATTTTGTTCTTTTTCTGGATTTTGAGGTGGGAGTTTAGATTATTATTCAGAGACCTTTTCTCTTTTCCAGTTAATCTATTTAATGAATTTCTCTCAGGACTGCTTTATTGACATATTTTCATGTTTTATTTTTTAATTTACGATATAGTTCATTGCATCTTTTAAAAAATTTGCCTTTGGACTTTCTCTATGACTCTTGATTATTAGAAAATGTATCATTAGGGGATTTTAAGTCCCTGCAGTTTGTGTTAAGGCTTAGGATGTATTCCTTGCGGTGTGTCCGTGGGCACTCAGGAGGAATGTGTCCTGCTGTTGGGTGCTGGGTGTTCTGTAATGTAAGTTAGAGCTTGCTGGCCGGTGTGCTGTTGGGCTCTTCTATAACGCATCCTTGTCAAGTTTCCAAATGGTTGTTCTCTGTCAGTTTTGAAAGGGTAGTGAAGTCATTTAAGTGTAATTGTGGATTTATTTATTTGTCCTTTCAGTTTTATCATTTTTTGCTCACACATTTAGCAACTCTGTTGTTAATGCATATTTGGGATTATTCAACTTTCTCAGTGAAATGACCTTTTTAGCATTATCTAGTATCCTGGTAGTGTCTCTGGTAATTTTCTTCATTCCAAAGACTTATACTTTATCAGCTATTCTCATTATACTTACTTTATATATTTGTGTGTGTATATATATATATATATGTATATGCATGATGTGTGTATTTTATTTTTTTTTACTGTTTATTTTTTTTTTCAGAGGTTTTTGCTATAGGGCATGTGCGCTCGCCAGGAAGACAGAGAGAGACAGAGAGACAGAAAGCAAGAAATCATCCCCCTGGGGGGATGGCCATGCCGCAATCCCTTCTCCTCCAATCTCCTCTCGGAATCTTGGGCACGCATGCACACGCGCCCAGCGTGAGTTTAAGCCACCGGGTCCAGAACCCAAACCGCGGTCAAGATGTGTGTATTTTTTGCTACCTGTGTCATAGTGTTTTAAATTAGTTTTTCGTAGACAACGTGCAGTTGGGTCATACTTGAACCACTGTACCTGTCTTTGGATTGTGTGTTTTATTTTGTGTTTAATGTAATTACTGATATGTTATGGTCTAAATCTGCCATTTTATTTTTTGTTTCTGGTTCCCTCTACTTTTTATTTCTCTATTTTCATTACCCTGCCTCTTTTCTTTTTCTTTTTCTTTTTTTTTTTGGTTATAGGGCGTGTGTGCTCGCCAGACAGAGAGACAGAGAGACAGAAAGCAAGAAATAATCCCCCAAGGGGGGATGGCCATGCCACAATCTCTTCTCCTCCATTCTCCTTACGGGGTCTTGGGTACACATGCACATGCACCAGGTGTGAGTTTAAGCCACCAGGTCCAGGACTCGAACTGTGGTCAACTACATGGGAGTCCAGTGACACAGCCATTACGCTAATTGCTGGTCCTGTACCCTGCCTTTTTGTAGCTTAACTCAACTTATTTTAGAATTACTTTTTTTATTTATGTTTTTGAATATTTCTCTTTGTAAACTTTTTTAGTCATTGTTCTAAGTGTTATATGTATGTTATTAGTGGTGGTGGGTGTCATTTTACCAAGGTATAGAATCTTTATCTTTCTATACATCCCTTTCATCTCATTTGTATTATAATTGTTTAATTATTTCCTGCACATACATCGATAACCATGTTGTAAATTTTGTTTAAAGGGCTTTTGTTTTTTTGTTGTTATTTGTTTGTTTTTGTCAT